TTTTTTTTTTTTTTTATCAGATTAAGAGTGTTCTTTTCTGTTCCTATTTTGCTAGGAGTTTTTTCCTGGGTGGGTGTTGAATTTTATTAAATTCTGCATCAAATGTGAAGAAAACATTTTCTTTCTTAATGGTTAACACGGCGAGTGACATTTTAAAATCGACTATTTTTAAATCACCTGGGCATAGCCGGAGTACACACAGTTTGGTCACGATGTAGTATCTTTTTTAAAAAATTGAATTTTATTTGCTAACGTTCTACCAACGCCTAACGTTTGAGCTGGTCCCGTGTGTCCTTCCTCAGCCTCTCCTCTGGCTCTGGCTCATCACCCCAGGGCTGTGCAGGTGGAGGCAGGTCCGGGGCTCACGTGCGGCTCTGCGGCCCGCTCTATGGTGCTGATTCCCCATTTCATTAGAGTCCCTTCGCCTCTGTCGTTTCCCTCCTGCTGGTTTTCCGGGGTGTGTGTGTGTGTGTGTCTGTTGTCGGTTTCCAGCTTCGATCTAGTTCATCATTTTCTGATCCCGTTTTTCCCCAAGTCCTGCTCTGACCACGTGACTGAAGCTAGTTCGGTTGCAGATTCGTATCCTTCAGTTCTTGGTGTTTCCGATTCCAGCTGAACTGTGTTTGTTGATCTGAGACTCCAGCGGGTCTGGGGTGTGTCTGCTGGTCTGTGTTTCGGTGCCAACTTTGCTTTTCCTGGTGAAGCAGATGGACCAGGATCATAAAAAGGGAGACTTCAGCTAAAAAAACAAACAGGCGTGTGTGTGTGCATCTGTGTGTGTGCATCCGTGTGTGTGCATCTGTGTGTGTGCATCTGTGTGTGTGCATCCGTGTGTGTGCATCTGTGTGTGTATCTGTGTGTGTGTGCATCTGTGTGTGTGCGCATCTGTGTATGTGTGCCTCTGTGTGTGTGCATCCGTGTGTGTGCATCTGTGTGTGTATCTGTGTGTGTGCATCTGTATGTGTGTGCATCTCTGTGTGTGCATCTGTGTGTGTGCCTGTGTGTGTGCATCTGTGTGTGCATCTGTGTGTGTGCATCCGTGTGTGTGCATCTGTGTGTGTGCATCTGTGTGTGTGCCTCTGTGTGTGTGCATCTGTGTGTGTGCATCTGTGTGTGCATCCGTGTGTGTGCATCTGTGTGTGCCTCTGTGTGTGTGTGTGCATCTGTGTGTGTGTGTGTGCGTGCGCACATGCACAGAAACTTCCTCCCTCGCATCAGCCGTCTCCCCTGGAAGGGGCCTCAGGTAAAGAAAGTCTCCCCATCACCAGATACACCCCCGCAGGACGGCCGTGAGGGGCAAGGGGAGCGGGCCCCTGTGCTGTGCTAAAATCAAGGCTTCTGACATTGTCTTTTGAAAACCTGCAGCTCAGCACAGGCTCCCTGAGTGAGGGCTCAGGTTACCTCTCGATGCCGGCAGGGGCTTAAAGGATTTACGATACTAATAGGCACCAGGTCCGAAGCACAAAGAAACCAAAGAGATAATGTCAAAAACTGCACGAAGGGCCAAGAGCAAGGTCTCGATTCAAGTCTCCCCGTGACTACGGTGGTTAAAATCTTCCAGAGTAACTGAATTTAAAAAAAACAACAAAACTCCACCTAACAGAAGTGTACAAAAGCTATAAAACTTTCCATGATAAAATCTAATTTTATTCAGAAAAAAAATCCAGCCTCTTTTTAAAGGCAGATAAAACCTGCTCTGGTGCATGTGGAGTTGGAGGCTTTCTCGGGAGACTATCTGATATTAAAGAGACGCTAAGACCTGAGCAGAATGTTTCCTAGTCACGTATAAAAGATCTGAAAAGCCAAATGAGGAATAAAAAGCTCATGCACAGAGTAATGAAATCATCGCGAAACATCTTCACTGCGCTTGTGATGATCACAGTTTTAGAAACTTCCATTATCTTGTCCATTTCAATATTTAGAAGATAGAACCAATGTGTTTGCTTTAAATCACGGACTAACCATTGGTAAAATTTCATTAAACAAGAGAGAGACGCTTCTTACTTTAAGGAACACAAAAACGCCCCCGAGAGCAACGGAAAAAAAGAAATCCATTTTTAGCTTGTTCGTTGTATTAGCAAAATCTTAAAGCGTATCTATGAAAAAATTCACAACTTGCCCGGCTGGTGTGCTCAGTGGTTGAGCATCGACCCATGAACCTGGAGGTCACAGTTCGATTCCCAGTCAGGGCACAGGCCCGGGTTGTGGGTTCGATCCCCAGCAGGGGGCGTGCAGGAGGCGGCCAATCCATGACTCTCATCATTGATGTTTCTCTCTCTCTCCCTCTCCCTTCCTCTCTCTGAAATCAATAAAAACATATATTTTTTTAAAAATTCACAACTTAAAATTGTTCGCTTGTCTTTGACTCTTGGGTGTGTAGAGGACACCTGTCCCCCTCTGCAATAGGCTCCTACACGCGCCCTCGCTGTGTGTGCTCTACGGTCAGGACACCTCGTTACTGCTGTGACCTCTTACGGCGGCAAATACTTGTCCCGACCGTGTGGATAGTCAGGACAGTGAGCGAGCTCGGCCTTGTCTTCCTATCGCCCACTCGCCGGCACCACGCCGCAGGGAGCGGCCTGTCCCAGGCCCTGGGCAGACACGCCGGGTGCTGAGATGCGGGCCGGCCGCCCCGCCGGCCAGGGGACACACGCTGCTTGTCTGTGGCCGCGAGGCTGTCTGGCCTCAAACCCAGGACCGTTCAAGATTCAGGGAGAACGTGGGATCCGCGAGAGCTCGCAGAAAAGCCGAAATACAGCCGGGGCCCGATCCTGCCTCATTCACACCAAAAGGCAGCTGTCGTTTTCCAGTGTCTCCCGGATTCGTCCTGACAGTTCCCGTGTGTTCTGCGCTCGGCTCCGTTCATAAAAGCGTGTAGGGCTTGCCTGCGGGGCTCTCGCCCGGCGTCCCTGAGACACAAAGTCTCTGACTCGCTTGACTCAGGACTGGTTACTAACGTCACCTCCACCGTGTGAACCCGTCTGTGGCTCCGGCCCCGGTTCGGCGCCTGTAAGATGAACGTCTCAGCGCCTCAGTGGCTGTCCCTAAAGCAGGGGCGGCAAAGCCAATGCACGGGCCCCCGGGCAGCACCGGAGGCGGTGAGAACCGAGGCAGGAAAGAGCTGCTTGAGCGCAGGAGTCCTTCCGGGCGGGACATTCGCGCACCCAGCGCGGTCGGCGAACACAGCGGGCCGAAGACCCTGGCGCCCTGGAGGGAGCGCGGACACCACGGTCCCCTTGTCCCTGTGTCCAGACAGGCCAAGAACTCAGGCTCCTGTTTTACTTCCCTGCAGAACCCGGGGCTGGAATTTAACTTGGCGTGGCGTTGACTGCGAATGCCGGCCCGTGGCAGAGACCCCTTGATCCCGGGGACATTTCACTCTGGCTCCAGCTCCATGTGCTCAAAATCAAATCCCTTCCAATTAAGCCATGACCCCGCTTCCTCTGTGGCCTGGAGGGGGCTGCCCCCGGTGCAGGCGCCATCCCACCGGGATTCCTGGGGGAGGGGCCGGATGGGGGAGGGGGGTGTGAAGGACCCGGGCCCCAGCGCCTTGTCCCTGCAAACACTTTAGGAGGAGAAACGGGGGGAGGGGGGGCTGCTTGGGTGCAGTGAGATCAAAGACACGTAAGTTTGCCCAGAGTCGAACAAACAGGAATCACAGGCATAATTAAGACGAGAGGGTTTAACATCAGCTGACCTGGTTTAAATCCCTAACTATTAGCCGAGTGGCTTTTACTAGTTGTTTCCTATGGGCACCATTATGGGCCAGTCTGACGCTCCCCCCAGATTCCTGCGCTGACCTCCTGACTGCCCACCCCCGCTGCCCCCCAAATAGGACCCATTTGGAAACAGCCTTTTCAAAGGTGATTGAATTAAAATAAGGTCATAAGTCTGGGTCCTAATCAAACCTGACTGGTGTCCTTACAAAACTCATCACAAACTTAAAGAACCAGGGCCTAGTGTTGCCCTGTGGCTCCTAACGGCTGTTCCTCTAAACATCATCCGTGGGACGGACTGTCCCCACGTTGACGCTTTGGTTCTGGCTCTCGCTGTGAACACACTGTGAGTGTGGTGTGAGTGTGAGTGTGGTTACGGAGGTCGGGGGGTCTCAGGAAGCAGAGCTCCTTCTGCTCCCCTCAGGACCTACACTTAGAGTCAGTCAACACCTAAGAACAAAACGCAGAAGCAACCAGTTAGAAGTAGGCCCGGAGGTTCCGCTGCGTCTGTTTTATGTCAACACGGGTCAGTCAGATCACAGATTTGCTCTGGCAGCTTCTCTTTCCCGTTGCCAGTGTGTCGCCACAGCCGGGCGGGTGAGCAGGAATGGGTGACAGTGTCCCCGGGCGGGTGAGCGGGGGTTGCCTTGGGGCAAGAATGGAAGCAGGTCTGAGAAGGGGCTGACCGTGCCCCCAGCCCTGGGCCCCCACCGACCGCTGTTCTAAAGAGCCCCGGACACAGGGCCGTTCATCAGCCAACAAACAGGGAGACTCACCACATGGCCGAGCAGTCAAAATTCACCAGAAGCCACTTGTGGGGGTTAAAATTAAAGGAATCTGCAAACTGCCGAGAAACAAAAAGATGGTTGAGTTAATTCGCATTTAGTCGCCGGGAGGTCACAGACACAATAACCAGCCGTCTGGCCCTGGCCCGGGGCTCAGTGGGCCGGAGCATCGTCCTGGACCCCAGAAGTTTGTGGGTTCGGATCCCGGTCAGGGCACATATCCAGGTGGTGGGTCAGATCCCCAGGAGGGTCACATATGGGAGGCAACTGGTCAGTGCTCTCCCTCCCTTCCTCCCTCTCTCTCTAAGGTCAATAGAAGCACAAACTCAGGGGGGGTTTAAAAACTGGCAACAACCAGCAGTGTGCCTTTGCAAGTGAAACAGCGAGGCCCGTGGAGGGGACGTGAGGTCACTGAACCCGGGGTCCGGGCTCTGGGGACGGGTGTGGGCAGCTACTTGGCCCCTCGGAACCTGTTTTTATTCTCACTCAAGTGGCAACAACCGAGCTCCCCGCAGGAAGCATGAAGCCGATACTGGTCCGATCCTGGGCCAGACTCGCGAGCAGGAGGAGGGCACTGGAGTGGGAGAACCGGGGTGCAGGTCCCCCGTGAGCCGGCTCTGGGGTCACGTGCCCATTGTGGGCAGCACCCGTAGTTTCCAGCAGAAAATGAGAGAGTTCAACCACCCAGGGGCCCGGGAGAGCACCCTCACTTCCCACAACTGCCCCGAGGGCTGAGTTTTTGTGTTTTTCAAAATGTGCGCCCCGCTTTCTCTCCTGATGACAGGGCCCGGGCCACCTGGAGACCGGGGGACAGGGCCACAGGGCTCATCGGTAATTGGAGCGGAAGTAGAGGTGGGGCCAGGCAGGGCCCCCGTCTGCTGAACCCCCCGATGGAAGACTTGGAAAGCTTCCCAGGGCTCCTCTGTTTGGTTCCCGGATGAGCCTGGAGGAGGCAGGAGGGGGCGAGGGGCCAGGTGGGCATGAGCGGGGACATTGGTCAGCCGATGGCCCCACTCGGGGGGCGGGGGGGGCGCAGATTCATTTCCTTCCAGGCTTCAATAAAAGTCATTCTGAGAGGGAGGCAGGAAATTACAAGGAGTTGCGTTTGCTGATCAAAGGTAGCAAAAGGTGAAAGCTGGGCTTTGTCCGCCAGGAATGTTATTAGCTCGCTCCTGGGGGGCTGCTCTGTTTAAACTTCTTTCATTACCCAACTGCGATATTTTCCTGCTGCTGACGGGGAGAGAGGGCTCTTATCTCCAGGCGGGACCCAGACAGGATATTGCAGCCCTTATCGGAGCCGCTGAGCTGAGCGAGAGGCCGCCCGGCAGGAAAGAGTCCCCGAGATGGGGGAAGATGCTGACCTCCTCGCGGGCGTGAGATCCTGTCTGCGGCTGATAGGGTCCCGCGCAGGGCCTGCCGCCGCGGGGGTCTGACAAGCAGGCACCCCCGTGAAAGGTGACACCTCAAGTTCATGGGGAACAGAAGGGAGTCGCAGGAAAAGGTCTGAAACCCTAAACCTGGTGGTTAGAAAGGACCGGCCAGGGAGAGGCACACAGACCCCCGAGAACGCCTCCCCCTGCCCTTTGTCCCTCGAGCTGCCAGGAAAGCCAGTCCTGGGGTTTATGGTCATCCCCACAATAAAAGGTGTTTATTTAATTTTTGTTGTTGGTAACCCTCACCTGAGGATATTTTTTCCATTGATTTTCAGAGAAAGTGGGAAGGAGTGGGGGAGGGGGGAGAGAGACATAGGCTGGTTGCTTCCTGTGTGCATCCTGGCTGGGGCAGGGATCCGCAACCCAGGTACATGCCCTTGACTGGTAATCGAACCCGTGACTCCTTGGTGCATGGGCCAGCGCTCTAACCACTGAGCCATACTGGCCGGGGCAATAAAACCTGGCACAGAGGTGTGTTCTTCACTTCCCAGCTCCAAACAAAACCAGCGATCCGCAGGGCCTGCAGGGGGCTGGGTGTCAGCACCCCACAGTCAGAACCTCTCACCCTCCTCCCATATTCACAGGGGCCTCGGGCCTCTGTTTACGCCCCGAGGATTGATCTAAGCCCTCATGTGCATTCAGGGATCAATAAGTCATTACAAAATGAATGAGGGAATCACTGAATGTCGTGGAAATATAAACCAGAAAGCTGCTTCCTCATCAGTACTACAGGGACCCTTCCTTCCAAAGACGGGGACATTTGTATTCTGCGCCTCTGAACCCCCCGTCCTGCTATTATGGCGTGACCAGATCCAGACTGGAAATTAGGAAACTGATGGGCGGTGGGACATGAGAGTGGAGACGGGTTCTGAGGGGCGGTCTCTCCAGGCCCTGCGAAGGTTAATAACAGCATCTAATGCATACACAGCGCTCACTGTGTGTGCCAGACGTGGGCTGTAAGCCCATTAAATATGATTAAGTCCTCTGAGCCTTACAACAGCCCCTCGAAGGTATCGACTGACTCCATCCTGTGAGGTGTGGAGAGGACACCTAACCTGCTCAAGGGCACACAGCTGGTCCTGGAGGAAAGCTGGGGTCCAAGGAGGCCTGGTGGCCTCAATCCTGCACCCCGTGCATGGCCAGGTCTCAGGAAGCCCCGCCTCTGAGCACAAAGCTGATGCTGTGGCTCCTCCATCACATCTCCATCCCTCCCAAGCCGCCTCTCCAGGCATCTGAGTCCCGGGCAGGGAGGAACGTCCTGCTCCGTGAGCTGCCACCAGGCCTGAAGTCCTGCTGGAGCCTAAAGTAGCACTCACAGGTCACCCCAAGGTCGCATCTCTGTGTTGCGTCTGCTGCCCTGCGAGGAGCAGATACTGGCAGATCGTTGTTTGCGCTTGCTCGGGAGCACAGGTGTTTCAGTTGGCATTACGGGCCACATTTTACAAATCCCGGGACACTGAAATGCATCGGAAGCCGCTCGTTTCATCCTGGGTAAGGTGAACACCGTGCTCAGGTGCAGGCCCAGAGCCCGGCTGTGCCATCGAGCGGGACCGAGCTGGTGTCTCCATCACTCCTCCAGCGGACATGCCTTCAGGAGGTACTTTGTTCCTAAGTGTTTCCCCACAGCTTTATAAGCCGACACATCCTGTCACAGCAGCCCTGCCCTGGACTTGTGCAGACTGGGACCCAGCTGTAGACGCGAGGCACACTGTGTGAAGACAAGCTGTGGGACCCGTCATAGGAGGGGTGACTCCCCATAACCACAGGGATTGGGTTGGAAATAATTTGCTGACACATGGAAAGTCACATCCTCATAAGAAGCCACTGATCACATGGTACTTTTAAAAAGTGATCTCATTAGCCCGGCCGGTGTGGTTCAGTGATTGAGCCTTGTCTCCTGCACCAGGAGGTCGCCGGTTCAACTCCCGGTCGGGGCACGTGCCCGGGTTGCGGGCTCGGTCCCCAGCAGGGGGCCTGCAGAAGGCAGCCGATCGATGGCTCTCTCCCAGCATTGATGTTTCTCTCTCCCTTTCCCTTCCTCTCTCTCTAAAAATCAGCAAAAACATATTTTTTTAAAAATAGCAATCTCATTAAAGAGCACACCCACCTCCACGCCATTCAGGAGATGCCGGAACTCAGGGCAGATGAAGGCGCTGCCCGCGTAGGCCGCGTCCACGTGCAGCCACAGGTCCTCCCGGTTGCCTGGAAGCCAGGAGCCACGCGTGAGTTCCTAAATGGACGCCCTCCTCGAACGGGGTTCGCGCGGGGTCTGACAGCGGGCCTCGTGCCGGCCCACGGCCCCTCGGCAGCACTCACTGCCCTGGCCTCGGGACCCCCACAAGCCTCTTCCGCTTGAAGGCAGCGAGCTGAGGGCAGGGGCCGCGCTGCTGCCCGGGGTGCCTGGCACAGACCGGGGTTCACCGCACGCCTGGAAAGTGCGGGAAGATGGAGTGATCACCCCCCTTGACCCCCAGGCCGATCCTGAGGCGCTACAAGAAAACCTGAGGCCTGTGGTTGAGGGTGGGGGTGAGATGGCCCCATAAACACAGGAGCTCAGGTCCTTCTTTGGAGAAATCCAGTGTTGGGGCATTGATTTGCTCAACCACTTTAAATAAATACCCTGCTGAACTCTACTCAGTAGTTTCAAGGAGGCTAAAGAGACAGGCAGGACGACACACTTCCAGGGTGGCCAGTGCTCGTGTCCTGCGTGTGCACGACCCTCCCGCAGGGCCCTGCAGGGCTTGAGGAGTGACTTCTCCTCGCGGGGGCCTTGCGAGCTTAAAAATGAGGGGTGTGGGATCAGCTCAGCCTTGCTCTTGCCCAGTTAGCCCAGGTTCGCAGTTGGTGGCGTTCAAGCTAATGAGGTTCAGGCCGTTGCAAATACAGAAAGAGTTTGGCAAACAATCGTCATGTGAAGTAGCATTATGATAATGTTCTATTTTATTCTGTAATATACAGTATTATATCCTGTTTGTTATGTTATTAAGTTAGTATTATGGAGGAGCGCCCAGGGGAAGGTCTGTCTAATTCCCACGTACCTACTGAGACCAGTTTCAGAAGAAAATATGAGTGGTACTCACAGACGGGCCCCACCTCCGAGAGCCTGTCGAAGGAGCAGCAGGATGTGGTCCCCAGCGTCGCCACCACCTGGCGGTTACAAAGCAGATGTCCCATTAAGACCCCTCGCCTGGGTCACTGTCCCAACCTCCACCTGCCCAGTGACCGCCCAGCGCATGGGATGTGGTACTTGGTGACGTCTACTCTGGGAGATGTGGATCTGGAGGGCACATGATCTTTGCTGGAAGCATCGTAACACATGGGGAGAAACAGATCTGCCAACGGAGAGCCAGGCTGAGGCTGGAGATGGCTCAGAATTTCCCGTGGTGCGAGGGGCGGAAACCAAGCCCGTTCCATGCCAGCGTCCCCAAGCTCTGCTCTATCGACAGGATATCTACTGATCTAAGAATATTCTGAAGCCTGGCCGGTGTGGCTCAGCGGTTGACCACCGACCTAGGATCTAGAAGATTGAGGTTCGATTCCCGGTCAGGGCACATGCCCAGGTTTCGGGCTCCATTCCCCAGTCGGGGGCGTGCAGGAGGCAGCCGATCAATGACTCTTATCATTGATGTTTCCATCTCTCTCTCCTTCTCCCTTCCTCTCTCTGAAATCAATAAAAATGTATTAAAAAAAAAAGAATATTGTGAATATCACTCCTTCTGTGAGGTGGAAAGTTGGGATTGTTCCTCAGCTTGGTGTGTGTGTGCGCGTGTGTGTCAATGTGTGACATTATTCTGAGGCCTGGGCTTGGCAGACATAATATCCAGTCACAGAAACCTCATGTGTTGGACACGGTTATGGTCCACACTCCACACTGACCTACGTGAGGCTCCAGAGGCAGGCCAAGGACACTCAGAGAGATGGAACCTCGTTGTGGCCAACTCTTGTTGTCCATCCAGGGAAAGAGCCCAGCGCCCTGGGCCATGCCAGAGACCCTGCTAACCAACCCAAGACCCAGCAGCCCAGAGCGGGGACCAGGCTCTCGGCCGGAGGCACCTGCAGGCCCTTTCGGCTCGGTGTCCTCGGTTGCAGGGAGTCAGCTGTCCTAATCCTCAGAAGCCACTTTAACCAGAGCACCTGCCGCGCCCCGGGCTCTGATTACCCCGGCTCAGCTTGCCGCGGTGGCACTAACCTGATTTCGGTGGAGGCATAATCACATTTGTGCAGGGGAGGGGGAAGGACAAGGCTGGCGCCCGTCTCCAACAGCCCCCGGGGTCCTGCTGCCGAGGACAGGTCCCTTCCAGAGCCTTTTCTCCCACCCGCCTTCATCATCCATCCTCCTGCCTGCTCGCCTCGGATGGGCGCCCGGCGGGCACTGCCCTCTGCCTGTGGCCTGACCTCAGCAGGCGGGAGGGCAAACCATCCTGAGAAAGCTGGAGAAACTGTCACCACCCAGCACCTCCCTGGAGGGCAGAGGCTAGCCTTCCGGGTTCAAGCCTGCCAAACAGGCCCTGGCTCTCAGCAGGGGTGTGCTTTGAGGGGTGTGCACCCCCTTGAGCACAGGATGAAGGCAGATGCATGGAATTATTGTGGACGTGCAGAGTTATAACCACTAGATATGTAAGTCAAGGCCAGCTCTGCCCTCTGGGTCTGGGCCGTCCATCTCTCTGGCTTCACTGGCCCTTAGTGGCTGGTTTAATATAACAAATTGGCTGCATTTCCTCAAAAAACCTGTGGTCACTCACATCTCCACATCTGGGCTGTCAGTTGAGCCTGGGCTGCTCTAACAATTGGGAAATGCCCAGAGCGTGAAGAGTGCCCCCGCCCCCGCCCCGGGCAGCGTGTCCCGGTCCTGGGTCCACACGAGGACCCTGAGTGACTGTGAACCATTTCCCAGGCCCGGCTCAGTCTCTAGTGACTCAGGTGAGATGGAATCAGGACGGAGCCCCCAGGTGATGCCAACATGCAGCCAGGTGAACGCCCCAGGGCCAGTGCCATGACCACCACAGGACACAGCCTGCTCTCACGGCCACACCAGGGTGACAGTCCCCAGGCTCTAGTTACCATGCCAACTTTTTCTTCCCCACCAGAAAACGCCTGTCTGTGCCCAGGAAAACCAGGTGCCCGTGGCTGGTTAGGGATCTCACCCTCCTCTCTCACCAGTTACACTCCTAGTGTCCGCTGACAACACCGATAGGCAGCAAGGCCTCCCGTCGCCACGTGTAATGTAGCTCACACTCATCATGTGCCCCTCGTGACAGAGTGTCTGCCGTGGCCTAAAGAACCTTCAAACTGTGGCCACTGTCACTTTGCAGGAAGCAGGAACTAGACGTCTCACCCTAGCCGGGTCTCGGGGCTGGGGTCCTCTGCCCGCTGCGTTCTGAGATTTACTCAGGGGAAGGAAAATACGCCACTCCTGCCCGGCCGGCGTGGCTCAGCGCTGGAGCATCGACTCAGGATCCAGGAGAGTGCAGTTCGATTCTCGGCCAGGGCACATGCCCAGGTTACAGACTCATGCCCAGTAGGGGCCGTGCAGGAGGCAGCCGATCAGTGACTCTCATTTTTGATGTTTCTCTCTCTCTCTTCCATCAATAAAATAAATATAAAAAAAAAAACCACGACTTTTCCTCCAGCCTTCCTCATGGAGGGGCCAGGGCCTACACGCCACGTGGCCTGGGAGCCCGCGGCAGCTGGAAAGTGGCCTGGCTCCCGGCCCCGTCCCAGGCCCTGGTGGGGCTCTAACCCTCCCAGGAGCCTTTGCAGCCGGCACTGCTGAACTTACGAAGAAAGGAATCAGACCCGCGGCCTTGTCCCTCTCCAGCACCTCCTGCAGGGCCGAGGCACGCATGGCGAACTTGCCGTCCGAGGGGATGGCTTTGAATTTCACTCCTCCAATTAATGCAGCTCTTTCCACGGAGCAGTGGGCCTGCAGAGAGAGCGGCGGAGTCGGGTCGAGCTGCACGCGTTGGCCCGGCGCCCCTGGCTCTACGGAGAGGCTCCGGCCTGCCCTGCCCGGGAGCACATCCCAGCCTGCTCCACGCGGGCCCCTCGCTTCCCTCGCCCTGCAGCGCCCCAGAGCATCTCCCCATCAACAGTGAGCACCCTCCGCCCTGCAGCCGGCCCTGCTCCCCTGGCACCATGCTGGGGCGTCACCGCCCTGAGCAGAACAGCCCCTGGAGCCCGCGTTCCTCACGGGTAATGAATGCCCCTCACTCCCAGCACCTAGAATGGTGCCCGCCAAGCAGTACCTGGGGGAAATCGGGAAGCCACCACAGTTCCTTTCGGCGGGGCTGAACTCCCTCCTAGAACCCCACTGGGAGAGGCTGCACCCCAACACTCACAGCGACTTATCCCCTGGGTGTTTACTGAGCGCCTACACGCGCGATCTCAAGTTTCCTCGTGTGCCCTGGGGGACGAGGGAGGTGTAGGCACCAATGACCCGTTTTCTCCACGCGCAGGTGTCTCGGGCGTGGGGTTAGACCACCCACAGGCGGAGGGCCCTCCCCAGCAAGCGCTGAGCTACGGGCACTGAATCTATCTCAGGCCGCACATACAGGGTGTCCCCCAAAAATGTATACACACTGCAACAGCTGGTAGCTGTTAAATGAAAATGAAGTGTATTTTAATAAACACTGCCGCTGTAATTATTCAAAGTGTGTGTATACATTTTTGGGGGGACACCCAGTATTTATGAGCTGGGACGAAGCTGCCGCAGCTGAGATGCTGGGGTTAAAAATGCACTCGAGATAAACGTGTCAGCAACACCCGCCGGCTGTCCCGGGCGGGCGGAGCCCGCATTCCTGAGGGCGGGGCGCCCATACTCTTTAGTGACCTTTTGACTATGGTTTCCCTCTCGGATTCACTTTCTGCTGCTCAGCTCTCTTTCCTCCTGTTTGTTCTCAGACAATCCTATTTGTTTTCTAGCCCCTTTCAAACGGCTGGTCAGTGGGATCCCAGGGACCCCCCAGTTTGCAGCTCTCTAACCCGGTCCGGGTTCAGTTCAGGGCAGTGGGGGGAGCAGAGACCCCCAGGGCACGTGCTTTTGTCCCGGGCTGATGGTGAAAGGGGGTCAGAGAATTCACATGATTTGCCAGAGATCATGGGACTTAAAACAACGGAGCTGGGATAGGAGCCTGGGTCCGAGCCCCGTGTCCCCCGGTCCCCGCAAGGCCGCTCTGAGGGTGGCCGGGTGGTCTCGGGGAGGCCAGGGTGGGTGGCCATGGAACTGGTCACTGTGGCTTCACAGCAGGTTTATTTTCAACTGGGTTTAGTAAGTTCCCACCTTGGGCCCACACCTTCTCTGTGTATCTCTGTGGCACCCGAGGGACACTTCTTAGATTTGATAGGGTGCTGCGTGGTCTTGTTTTGTTTTGACATGAAACAAAACACACAGATCATGGGGGTTTGGGGGGGCTTCGGGGGGACACACTCACCTGGTCCGAGCCGTAGGCCACCAGTTTCTCCATGATGGCGGCTTCCGTCAGCCCCGGGCGGGTGGCCTGGAGGTGGCGTGTGGCTCTGCTTCGAGCGGCCAGCAGGGCCATCAGCGTGGCCTCACTGGCGCTTCCCTAAATGAGAGAGAAGGGGGACATGCCCTTCAGAGCACAGCAGGGGGTCTGGGCCTCAACTGTGGGAGATTCTTTATTAAATCTCTATGTTTCTTAAAAGGTTAATCTGAAATTAGGAGGCTCACCTGCTCCACACAGAACTCTGAACTCCCTGTGGCTGCTGCTTCAGCTTCAGTTCTATCAGGGGAGCGGGGCCCCGGGACTAGCCGCTGAGCCTGGCTCTGCCAGCATCACCCTCGGACGGAGGCATTGTATTTGCTTATAAAAGGGGTTTAGGACCCTGGCTGGTGTGGCTCAGTGGTTGGAGCGTCAGCCTGCAGACTGAAGGGTCCCTGGTTCAATCCCCGGCCAAGGGCATGTACCTGGGTTGCAGGTTCGATCCCAGGCCCTGGTCGGGGTGCGTGTGGGAGGCAACCAATCTGTGTGTCTCTCTCACATCGATGTTTCCCTCTCTCTCTCCCCACCCCACTTTCTCTCTCAAAATCAATGGGAAAAATATCCTAGAGCAAGGATTAACCAAAATAAATAAAAGGGGTATATTTCCCTCGAGCCTCACAAATCACCCTGGAGGCCCCTCAGCGCCCAGTGCCAGCGGCTGCACTGCGTCCCCTCAAATTCCTCATGTCAAAGTCCTAACGCGAGGACCTCAGAACCGACCGAGTTTGGAGATAAGATTCTAAAGAGATTAAGTTTAAAGGGGGTCTTCAGACCCAGGTCTCATCCACTCTGGCTGGTGTCCTGAGGAGAAGAGAGGGGGGCACGGACGTGGGTGCACACAGAGGGGTGGCCGGGTGAGGACACTGGGAGAAGACTTCACCTGGTGGCCAAGGGGAGAGGCCTCAAGGAGACCAGCCCTGCCGCCCCCTAGGTCTCAGACGTCCAGCCTCCGGGACTGAGAGACGGTCAACCTCTGTTGTTGCAGCCGGGCTGTGCCACTTCGCTGTGGCACCTGAGCATGGGGCACAACTAATGCCAACAGCTTATTCTGGCAGAACAGTGGGGGATGGTGCCGGCTGCACTCCTCCGAGGTGGGCTCAGCACCCAGCATGTCACCCCACTTAATGTGCAGGGTGACCGTCTTCTCAAGTTTCGCCGCCTTCCGGGGGGAGAGCAGTACTCAGAGGGGGCCCTGCTCCCCCGCGTCGCGGCGCATGGGGCCTGGCGAGGAGCCGCCCATGCCCGTCCCGTCCGGGCTGCCCGGAGCCTCCCCACGGGCATCAGCAGCCTCCCCGGTTCCTGCTGCCGTGACCCCGGAGCCGTAAGTCAATCTTACAAGCAGCCCAGGAGCTGAGCAGGATCCGTGTCGGAGAGAAACATTTTAAAAGGTTTTAAAAACTTTAAAAACTCAGCAGGATTTTTGCTGACTGTGAGAAAGGACTTACAAGATTTTAGAGTTTTTCCAGAGAAATACTCAATAAAACACGAGGGGTCAACCTTTTGTTCACAGCTATCCTCTTGCACTGATGCTGATTTCCTACTTTATTTACCAATTTACTGCTTTCACTTCTTCTTTTAAACCAACTCACATCCCCGGGGAAGACAGGCTGGTTTTAAAGATAGACGCGTTTACTCGTGGCTGTAACGTGCGGATGGCAGACACACGTACACAGTCTTCTTACTTCCACCTCGGCAGTGGGTTTACACCTTCCTCAGGCCCCATTTTCCCTGGTGGTGATTTTAGACTCGGTCCGAGAAACCGCCAGCAAAGCTAAGCCAGCAGCCGCAGCAGGATGGCTGAGCAGCCCGGGGCGGGCACGGGGGCTCTGGGTGGGGGCACTGGGCGGCCCTGTCCTCTCCTGTCCCCACATTCTGCATGTCCTGGAACCTCACACATCCTCCCTGAAGGTGGAGAGGCTCCCTGAAGGCCCAGCTCCTGGATGGGAAACTTCTGACCCCGGCCCTCTCGGGGGGCCACAGCCTCTCTTGTGACCCATGGCTCCGCGGTGTCCACGTGCTCCAAGCCACATTCTAAGTCTGGGGCCCGCCACGCCAGCTCATTAGGCATTTCCTCTGGGCTCTGTCTACATCCTGAGAGAAGACCCCCCTCCTTCAGGCAACAGACGTGACTTTGGAAAAGCCCGGGGACACCCTTCTCAGCCGAACCCCAGCTCCGGGCTCAGGGGAGACAGTGGGTTCTGGGCCCTGGGCTTGAAGCAGACTCTTGCCACGGGCGGGTGGGACTGTACGCTCTTGTGCTGGGAGCATCGTGACACCTCTGCCTTGTCACAGCAGACAAAGGTTGCCATGGCAAGCCCACCGAGAGGCAGGCTGCCCGGCCGGGAGCGGAAACGGCCCCCCAGCCCCGGTGCTCAAGGGTCTCCCACACACGACGGAAATGGCTTTTCTTGCACGAGCGCTTTCAAACCCAATTAAGAGGCCATTTGCAGCCTGTTTGTCCAGCTCGGAGGGTGAGTTGACATTTGCCTCAGACGCCCGTCACGGCTCCGGTGCCGGCGGCTGTGATTACGGCTCCCAGGGGCCCCGCATCCCCCGCATCCCCCCGCATCCGGGGGCCGAGGCTGTCACCAAGCTCAGCGATCTGGGGCCTCACAAATTACAACAATCAGCCTGTCAGCCAGGAGGGCGCTTCCTGCCGTAAACACAGACTCCCTCCCTGCCCTGTCCAGCAAACGGAGCCCATCGGATCTGAGGGGGGTGAGTCCCCGGCCCTGAGCGCCCAGGACTAATCCCACCAAACTCTAGGCTTCTGTTGACTCTAGAAAACAGAACTGAACTTAAGGAAAAGATAACTGAGAGATTTAGCCTTGGTGGCACCCACGGCTCTGACACTGTCACCCGAGCAAATGGTCCGGGTGAGCTGGTGGAGCGCCCAGAGGCTTCATCCGTGTCGGTCCTGGGAGGCAGGAAGGCTGGCCGGGGGCAGCTCCTCCGACCAGAAGAAAACTGTCCTGTCCGGGAAACACTCCTCGTCAGGGAGGAAATGTTGCTGTTGGCTGAGTCTGAGCCTGTTCACAGCATCCTGAAGCTTCGCTTGCCTCACAGGGACTTTTTCATCTGCTGCCCACTCAGAGTCACTGATGTAGGAGGGACACCGGTGAGGCAGGGAGGACAGGGGATGGGTCGGGCCCGCCGCCTGGGCCTAGGGGTCCCAGAGGCATCCATCCGTCACTGCATGTGCCCGTTTAGCAAGGCAGGTAGAGATCTCTGCGTCAGCATCACCTGAGCGACACCTTAGAGCGCTGATTCCCAGGCCCACCTGCCATCTGTCCAATCCTGGCTCCAGGGACAGGGTCCAGTCACCCACACACTGGACGTGTCCAGCAGAGTAAGGGCCTCCCAAATCTGTCTGGTCTTCATCCTGGGACCTAAGACTGTTCACCTTACAGGGACCAGAGAGCTCGCTGATGAGATTAGGCTAAGAACCTGGACACAGGGATCAGCTTGGATTATCTGGATGGATCCAATCTAATCACGCTGCTCCTTAAACATAGAGAACCATCTGCGTCAGAGGGAGATGTGCATGAAGGAAGGTCAGCAAGATGGAGCTCAGTGGGCTTTGGAGGTGGAGGAGGGGCCGTGACCAAGGAGGTGGGAACCTTCTAGAAACCAGAGACGTCAAGGGGAGGTTCTCCAAGGCACCAAGCTGGGCTACAGCCCCGTAGACCAGTGCAGACAGGAGGTGAGAGGCCTGGCCTGGGTGGGCAGCCTCGGGACGGGACCGGGGCTGCCTTCCCTGTTTACCATGGCCACGCCCGCAGCGAGGCCTCCGGGTTTTCGGGGTCCAGTGGGCAGGAGAGCAGCTGCCTCATCGAGTCCTCAGAGCCTTTGCAAAGACAACGTCTTAAGAAAGCGAGCCGAGCTTCCCCGACATGTTACCACACACCTGGCGCAAGGGGAGTGACATCGGGCGGAGGGTTCCTGGCAGGAGAGTCCACCTTCCTGCGAGGCAATGAAGAAGCCACACGTGTGGGTCTGCCCTGCAGACCCTGGTGGGGCGGACGTCCACCGAGATGGCCTTCCTGTCTGCCTTGTCCCCGACGTATGTTTTGTCCCACAGCCTCTCTCAATGGTGCGTGGTGAACAAACAGAAGGAATTCGGTCAGCGCGTTGGAGAGGCAGCCTCTCCCGTGAACTACTGGCTCCCGTAGATGGAGAACTTTGGCCCTGGGTGGCATGGCTCAGTGGTTAGAGTGTCGGCACGTAGACCAAAGGGTCGTGGGTTTGATTCCCGGTCAGGGGCACATACTTGGGTTGCCAGTTCGATCCCCAGCCCTGGTCAGGGCACATGTGGGAGGCAACCAGTTGATGTGTCCTTCTCATATTGATGTTTCTCTCTCTCCCCCCCCCCTTTAAAAATCAAAGGAAAAAGTACCTCAGGTGAGAATAAACATACAAACATACAAACAAAAGATGGAGAACTTTGTGGGAGCCTTCGAAACACACAGCCACGGGGCCACGGGAGCACTGAGGGCCTCCCTGCGTGGTGGCAAAGACCACGGTTCCACAGTCAGACAGCCGTGGCTCAGACCCAGCTCTGGACTGAGCAGCGGGGGCCGATGGGCATGCCCCCTCCCTGCTCTGTGCCCCAGTCTCCTCATCTGTAAATACAGGTATTGAAATACGGCCCCAAATTCATAGCATGGTTGTGAGAATTAACTGAGAAATGCCCAGAAAGGGTTCGGGCGTGGTGGTCGGAGACAGGGACCCAACGTGTGCGTCAGTCACTGCTGCTTTATCACTGGGCACCTGCCAGGTGACAGTCACTGTTCCGTCTACCACGAGCAGGGCCTGGGGAAGCAAGGGAGAGATGGCGCCAGATCCCAGTCCAGACCCAGTTTTCCTAACAGCTCAGCTCAGCTCCGCTTCCTCCAGGAGAAACAAGAGGCCACAGCCGGCGCGCCAGCCCCTTCCCCTGCAGCTGGGGCCCCGTGACCCGCATCCGGGGGCTGGATGCCCCCTCCCTCCTCACCTGGATCACCCCGCCCCCCGAGCCAGCTTTCTCGGCCAGAAACGCCTCGGGCAGCTGCAGCATCTTCCCCAGCCAGTCCAGCATCACCGTCTCCAGCTCCGTGCACGCGGGGCTCGAGGCCTGGGGGGAGGAGAGGAGTTAACCCGGCCAGCTGCCCTCTGCTTCCTGTCAGCTTGTGACAAAGGGACGCACAGACAGGACAGCTCTGTTACTGCTGTGACTCAGATTTTATCAATTTAACAGAAGCTTTTAAACATTTGCAGAAGGCCCATCCCCAGGGGGTGCTCAGCGGAGGGTGTGCCTCCCCTCTTGGAGTTCCGGGGAGACAGTGACAGAGGCTGGTCCCGGGGACCCGGCAGCGCCCCTGCCTCCAGCAGCTCGGAGGCCTTCCTGGGCCACTTTGGAGGGCTGAGAGCCTGGCCTGCCAGTGTCCCCTTCCCTCCTGTGCTTGGGATGGAGGCGCCCTCACCCCTGCCCAATCCCAGATCCGCCGCAGGCGGCCATGTGCTCGCTGCGTGCGAGGGTTTGCACGTGTCCACCAGTGACCTCGCTGCCCTCCACCCGCAGACTTGGCCTCTTGGGGGTGTCACCCCGTCCCTGCCCTTCTCTGCCACAATTCTCTAGGGGCTGGTGTATGAACAGGGGCCAGATCTTGCAGAATTTTAAGAGCAGCAGGGTTCAATCTTCCGCCCAACCCAGGTTAAAATCGTCCAACCCTGGATGCTCTGCAACGCTGGACACGTGTCAGACAGGGGCTCTCTGACCAGGACTTGCGGCACAGTGGCCGTAAGGACAGAGTGCCCCGGTAATTACCCCACTGCAGGTCATAGGCACCACGTGCTCGCTCGGCCAGCCATCTGCTTGCTTAAGAAAGGTCTAGAAAGGCTCCCTGGTGGACCCCTGTGCAGTCACAGGGACTGGGACTGAATTAGGAGCTGGGCTGGGGGCCTGAATCTGACCTTGCCTTTGAAACGCTGACACTCTTGAGCTGGTGGCCTAAGAGCTTGCCCAGCTTTGCTCCTGGGGCAGGTCGGCCTTGGCTGCACCCGAGATGGACCGAGCTTCTCCCTCCCCGTGGGTCTCACTGTGGGGCTCAGGGCCCTGCGCTCCCCCCATGTGCAGGGGCTCAGGACGCATGGCTGATTACAGCAGGCAGGACTCTCTCCGCCCTGCCCATCAGGCCCATCAGGAGGGTTCTCCCTGTCCCTGCTAATCCCGGCTTCTGGTGGGACCCAGCACCGGCTATTAGGAGCCAGGTCTCGGTGGCACAGCAGCCGGGACAAGTGCAGCTGCCTCCGCACCCCAGAAAAACCAGACTGTCTCAGAAAGGGCACACACGACGGGTACCCTGAAGGGACAGGACGGCTCTTGGCCGGCAGAGCGGAGTGACCTTGGCCGCGGTATCTAAGGAGACAAAAGTCCTTGCTTCAGAGGCGGTGAGCTCAGAGGGACAAAGGAAGGTCGTCCGGGTCACAGTGGCCATGCCCCGGCCGCTGTGCCAGCCCAGGGAGGGCTCGGGCACCTGACAGAGCAGGTCAGAGTCCTGGGCAGACAGCTGGGCACCCTCCAACCCTACCTGTCTGGGTGAGGCTGCCAAGACCACCGCCTGCGCCTACGACCCATGGGGGGGGCAGCCGATGGGGTCTGCTGGGCACTGAGCACCCACAGCTCAAGCCCCAGGCCCTGCCTCAGCACGAGCCAACCCAGCTCCTTGGCCCAGACAAGAGGACGCCGTGGACCCAGAGGCTGAGGGCAGACCCTGGCTTTCACATCCCCTCCAGGCCAGCAGCCTAGGACCCTGACTCAGTGGGTAGGCGGCTCTGCACCCCCGGTAGGCCCTGGGAAAGCAGGGACCTTCCCTCTAGGGCTGTGCTGGGAGCAGAAAGCCAGGAGGGAAGGCCAGTCCCGCCCGCCCCCTGAGCAGGGGTCTCTCTAGCATTTGCCCCCAGGTAACGGGGGCCTGGCTGGTAGGTGGACACAGGAGCTGGCCCCAGGAGCCCAAACTCCTGATGGGGACCCTCTCCCGGTACAGAAGTCCTGGCTGAGAGCAGATGGATGGGACGAGGGCAGTGGCATTTCTCCAACTGCAGATCCTACAGAACCCCTCTGGTCGGCTTGGTGGAAACTCAGATCCCCAGGCCTGGCCGTGGACACCCAGGACTGAGATTTTCATCCACACCACGTGGCTCTGAGGAAGCTGGCTGTGCAGAGTGCCTGGTGGTCGCTGATAACTTTTCCAGAAGGGTGCCTTTCTCTCTAGGCCCCTGTGTTTCACTCCCCCATGAGGCCCCCTCGCCAGGGCCAGACCCTCATCCTGTCTCCCAGGGGCGCTGCCCCCCACTCAGGCCTCTGAGAAGACACACCACGTCCCCAGGGCAAGACCCGGCTCCCCGACACTCACCCAGGAGAAGCCGATGCAGCCGATGGCCCCGCACAGCATGTCAGCGAGCATGGCCGGGTAGGAGCTGCCCGTGGGGAAGTAAGCGAAGAATCGGGGGCTGTGCCAGTGGGTCACCTGCGAGGGGATGGCGGTCACTCGGCATGAGAGGAGCCCCCATGACCCAGCCCCTCAGCGTGCACAGCCAGGGACGTCCCTAAAACAAGTGTTTGCCATTCTGGCGAGGAGTGCGTGTCGGGAGCCGCTCGCACCCTAGGCCCAGCTCCGTGTTGGAAACCTGGTTTTCTAAAACTGCTCAGTATAAACAAAAAGTCTAAATCAGAAAAAAATCTAAAAAGGCCTGATTGTGGAGGTTTCCTCACCCGGTCTCGCTGCCACCCCGCCCTCCCCTGTTGAGTCCCTTCCCTCCGGCCCCTTCATCCCTCTGTCCCCAGCTGCCATCAGCACCTGAGGTGGATGCTCCTAAACTGGCCCTCGGTCAGCCGGGGCCCAGAGAGCTTGACGACTATCCCTGCAGTCACACAGCTAGCAGGGGGCGGGCTGGGCTTCCCTCACAGGGACACCGCCCCAAAGCCCTGCTCTGCCCAGCCCCGCTCTGGCAGGGAAGGCCCCCATCTAACCTGCAGGAAGAATTCCACAGTCTCCTGTCCCCCCTGTTGTGAAGGGACACGTTCTTAGTTGATGCCCCCCACAGTGTGAGAGCATTAGGGGGCGGGGTTAGATTAGATCTGAGGGAGGACAGGCCATGTGAGGACCCTGGCCGTCTGCAGGCCAGGATGAGACCCTCACCGGGAACCGGGTCTGTGGGCCCTGTGATCTCGGACCCAGGCCTCGGAGCCCCGGGAAGGAGGGGTCTGCAGTGCGAGCGCCCGGCTGGTGGTATTGCACATGGCAGCAGAGCCTGACGTTTAACACACATCCCCCTGGGGGGTGACGCGGAGGGCGTAGTGTGTTTACTTGACCGGTCGGCAACGCCAGCACCACCCGTGCTGGGCTCAGGGTGCAAATGTCAGGGACACTCCTGGGGAGGAGCATCTGGGCCGAGCCCCTGAGCGGTGAGGTCCCAGGGCTGGGGCCCCACTGGGCTGGCGTCCGGTCTCAAGGTGATGGGCGGGAGGCAGGGCCGGGGGCCGCTCCTACCACATCTGCCTAGGTGACCCCTGGCAGGGAGACCTTGCTGTGGAGACGTGAAGCCACAGTGTGCGCCCTTTGACCCGGGACTGCCCGCCCACCTCGGAGTCACGCGGGGTGACCGCCGCCGAGGCTCTGCCCACACCTGTCCGGGGCCCTCCATGCACCGCGCGAACTGTGACTCTGGGCAGAAGAGCCAAGTCCCCGTTCTCAAATAGATCAACAAAACATTCCCGCGCTCATGCGATTTGCCCTCTGTGAGCGTGGAATGCAGGCCTGCGCTGCATTCTAAGCGACGGACTTACTTCCAACCACCCCTGGGGCTCTCGCCTCCAACCGGCACATCCGCCCGCTCACACGGCAGGGTCTCCGGCAGGGGACGGACCCAGGGAAAGACACTCACCGCCCTGGGAGCCCCCCGATCTGGGTTGCCATCCTGACTCCATCGCTTCCTAGCTGTGTGAACTTAGACTAATCGCCTAACCGCTCTGAGCCTCAGCTGTAAACTAGAAATGACAAGGGCGTCTGTCCAGGGGGGTGGCTGCGAGGATCAGGGGACATGCTCCATGGGAACCCCCAGGGCCCGGCAGGTGCCCCATCGACGCCAGTCCTCCTGACCCTGACGCGGGAACACTCACCCCCGGCATGATGACCTTCTCCACGTCCTTCATGATGTCCTCGTAGGCGTCCGGCTCCTGGGGGGCACAGCTGGGGATCAGGGGGCGCAGGTAACCGGGCTCCACGTCGGGGTAGACCTGGCGTCCCTCGATGCCCTCGATGTAGTCCGCTATGTAATCCACCATCTCCCGCCCTCTCCTCCTGAACTCAGTCGCGTCCATGGTGCTGGGCGTCCTTGGGAGAGAAACTGCAGAGATGAGGAGACCGGTTGGTCAACAGGAAACCACACGGGAGTGGGGGTGTCCAAGCAGGCTGACCGCTGGGGCCGCCTGGGCAGTGCCCCAAGTGCCCCGGGGACCACGAGGTCCCACGTCAGGCAAGCTCTCCTTCTACGTGCGGAAGCCGGGGAAGTGACCCTGGAGCTGGAGACGCTGGCCGAGGCCTCCACCGCTCTCCAGCTGGTCAACTATAGACGGCGCCACATCTGGCGCTCTCACTGTCCACACTGGTGGGAGGGACACACTCGTTTCCATGTCCGTGCCAACTGTGATGATGACGCTGGCCCCTGACCAGCTATTGAATATGTCACTGGTAAGATGACAGTCTTCTTGAAGGAAAGATTTCAATCAAGAGACAAAGTGTAGAAAAGCCAGCAAGTTTATTGGCCGCAGCAGAAATATACTTGGGGCAGTGAAACAAGGAAGGGCCCAGAGGAGGCCACAGGAGGGCCGGGGCTGGGCTGCTCTGGCCACTGGGGAGTCAGAGGAAAGGGGGCTTCAGCCCGGGCTCTCTTCCGTCCCATCCCCATTTCGGTTTCCTATCGCCCGTCTCAAGGTGACCGGGCTCTCTACCATAAAAACACGTCCCACAGGAGCTTCCAGTGGACCCTTCTCAGCAATTCTGTTGTTTGGCTCCCAGAAACCAGTGAGTATCTCAGTTGGAATTGGTCAGAAAAGCCAGGGCCGTATTCTCTCACCGTTAAATTAAGTCCCTTTGCAAACCCACCAGGGTCCTAGAGAAGGTCAGGGAAATCGTTCAGCAGACTCCTTAATTCTTGATCTAGTCCAGGGAGTGTACGCAATACCTGTTTCCCGTCTCGATTAAGGCCAATTTCAACCAAGAGACAAAGCGTAACAAAGCAAGCGATTTACTGGCTGTGTAGAGATACACTCGGGGGGGGGGCGGACCGAGTGGGCACTGCGGGGGAGCCCCCTGGTCAGTTACCGAGCTCAGTGTTCACGGCCCGGTCTTCCCGGCCTCCTCCGCGCCTGTCCCTTCAGCCCCCCAACCCCCGTGGGTGAACCGCCCCGTGTACGTGCCAGGAGGGACTGTCGCCCACGTAGCTGAGTGATGTCCTGAGATGGAGTCAGCGACCTGATGACCCTAAGTCCGAGTACGTGAAGCCTGTTTCGGCTTAAGATTTTTACCTTAGGCCCTGCAGACGTGCAGGAATGCACGAGGCCGCTCTACCCCTCCTCTCCCTTTGATGTCCCGGCTCCTGTCTGACTCGCTCCCTATCCTGACACTTTGATTGATAAGTTCACCGGGTTCCCACACTTCTCGGCCCTTTGGAGTCCTCCTTTCACAAACAGCTTGCTCACTGGACTCGCCCCTGCTATTTCGGTGAGATTGCAGAAGCTCTAATGCATATATGCATGTCAGTTATTTGGTTAATCTCTCCCCCCACCCCCGCGCCTTCCCTCTGAGATCGCTCAGTCTGTTCCCTGCCTCCGTATCTCTGGATCTATTTTGTTCGTCAGTTTATTTTGTTTATTAGATTCCCCGTGTGGGTGAGATCATGGGATACCTGACGGGCTTATTTCGCTCAGCATAATATTCTCCACGCTGTCCCAAAGGGCAACAGATCCTTCTTTTTTACAGCTGCGTAGTATTTTTTTAAACCTTTAAATATTCGAGTGACCCCTATTGGCTTGATCCCGGGGCAGCCCACGCCCTGCGCAGGTGGGGCTCAGGGGGCGGGACTGTGCGAAGTTCAGCGCGATGCCTGGGTTCTCGGAGCACCAGCTGCCTCAAGAAAGAAACAGACACTCACACACGCACTTGCCCCCCAAAGAAATATCCCTAGTGGGGCTGCAGGATAAGACCTGGTTACTATTTTAGAATCCCAGAGACCTCCCTAGGAGGCTCGTAGCGCAAACCACAGAGAATCTGGGGCTCATTTCTGTATCTGTCTGATATTTCGTGTCCCTGAGCTGGGCAAATATTGGCTAGAAGATGTAGACGGTGATAAAGGCCACGGCCGATGCCTCTCCAGGCCCCTGAAGCAGTTTCTGTTGACATAACCCGGGGGCAGTGCCGGGCAGCAGCTGAGCCCCCTGGCATTTCGCGAGGAGCCCTTGACCTCACTGCACATGGCACGAGCCGGCCTCGTCCCTGGACTTCTGTCCCGGCGTCTTGTCACATCAGTGACGGGCACAGATGGTGCCAGCCCCGTGCCTGTTTATGAGGCTGAGAGGGAGCCACGGGAAGTCTAAAGGATGTGCCACACTGGCTGTGGCCACCAGGCCTCTAGAGGGCTTGGGTTTTTTTTTGTTTTGTTTTTGTTAATCTTCGCTCGAGGATATTTTTTCCACTGCTTTTTAGAGAGCGTGGAAGGGAGAGAGAGAGAGAGAGAGAGACATCGACGTGCGAGACTCACCGATGGGTTGTCTCCCACACGTGCCCTGACGGGCCAGGGATTGAATCTGCAACCCAGGTGCATGCCCTTTACCGGGACTCAAACCCACCACCTTCGGTGGGCGGGCCGACGCTCTGACCACGGAGCAGCCCCGGCCAGGGTGGATTATTCTCATGATTCATAGGATTCAGGGTCACCCACAGACGCTCAGTTAAGTAACAGCTTCGTTTCTAAACAACACAGTAGTGCTGGCCAGAGTCCTAGGAGTTAGGAGGGAACTTAGAGGATTTGGGGGACAGCTGAACAGACAGTCGCCCTCATCACCGGACGCATCTCGTTGCTAGAAGCTTCCCTACGGTCAGAGTGGGAAGGTCCAGTCCTGCTGGGTCCCCCGCGGTCCTGTCCCCACGCAGGAAGAGCCCGGCCAGGAGCCAGCCGACTGACGGGAAAGCAGCCAGTGAGCCCTGTGCCTAGACCGACGTTTCTGTGCCCAGGAGAGAGGAGAGACAGGGCATCCCAGTCCCAGAGGGAGACACGCTTTTGGAGGCATTTTCCCTGGAAAAGCGTAAAAAGAATGTAAACGCTTTCCTTCTATCAGGATAGAAAACGAGAGCCAGGCAGGGCTGGGCCCCGCCGGCAGCGCCCGGGGTCTGCATTGAGACCACGGCGTCAGAGCAGCTGTGGGTCCTCGGAAATCCAGGCTGGTGGCAGCCGCGCCGAGACGGACGCTCTGCTTCTTCCTCCGTGAGGCCAAGGTGCCCCTCCTGAGCCTCCGGTCATTAAGCCCCTGGCCTCCCACCGCACACAGGCACCCCCCTTACCGCCGTCTTCCCCTCCTGCCTTCACTTTTGGGTAAGTCGAGGTACTCTTGTTGAAATAGGGGTCCTCCGGTCGGCTTAGGGAAGGGCTCATGCCCAGCCGTGTGGCTCAACTGGTAGAGCCTCATCCCATGTGCCAAGAGGTCGCAGCTCGATTCCCGGTCAGGGCCATGCCCAGGTGTGGGCTCCATCCCCAGTCGAGGGCCTGCAGGAGGCAGCCGATCAATGACTCTCTCTCTCTCCCTCTCCCTTCCTTCCCCTCTCTCTAAAAAAAGTCAGTAAAAACACATTTAGAAGTTTTTTAAAAGGTGAACATTTCCATGAACTTACATGGGCCAAGTCCCACGTCAAGCTCTCTGCCTGTGATCTCTTATTTCATCTTTGCAATCACACTGTCGGGACAGTCACCCCCTCCCTCCCTCCACAGATGTGGAGGCCGAAGCTCAGAGACTGAGCCACCTGACCCAGAGCGCACGGCCCGCTGGGGAGGTCAGGGCCACAGCGGGCTCCAAGCTCTGCCCACTGACCGGCACCTCCTGGGCACGCTGGACCCCAGCCAGGCCCAGGCACATCCAGCAGGTTTGGCCAGAGCACAGGCTGTCAAACCCTGAGAAAAACCTTAAGATCAGAAACTCAGAAAACCAGTTCCTCCCCGCGCCTGCAGGACCGCTCCCAGGGCGCCTCCCTCAGTTCACCCAGATCACATTCCTGCGCGCAGGACGGCTCTGGGCGTGGACGGCTCTTCCCGGGGATGGTGGCCCCTGACCGCCCCCGGCCCCCATCCTTAGCCTGGGCAGCGGCCGGGATACGAAGCACCGCACGGAACTCCAACCGGGGCTCAGGACCCTGCATCTGGCTGGGCTCCCAGCACGCGCGTTCTCTCCACACTCCAGGCCACGTCAGCAGACGGGAGGCCCCGCACAGGCCCGCGCCTGCTGCCCATCCGGCCTGCTCTGGCCTGGAGGCTCCCTGCCGCACCCCACAGCCTCCTCGGGACTGCAGTCCAGCAGGGCTGTGTCCTCTGTCTCGGCTGCCCGGGGACAAAGGACAGCGGGTCCAGGCTCAGAGTAAAGGGGCTGAGCCCTAACTCTGCTGGAAGAGGCCGTCTGGCTGTCGGCCCCTCCGAGCCTCAGTTTCCTCCCTTGTCCCCCGGCAGGGAGATGCTGCCTGGAGCAGGCCCCCTGGGCTGCGGCACCGTCTGGATCCCGCAGTAATTACGCCAGAAAGGACAGGCGGCCTCCACCCTGAGTGGCCAGGTCACCTGGCCACGGTCAGACATCAGGCTCGAGTGAGAGATGCGGACACGGGTTGGGCTTCAGGGCGAAGCCCGGACCCTCTGCCAGGGAAGGAGGGAGCCGCCTCGGCTGCCTCGTCCACCCCCGCGTCCCCCACGGCCCCGCCGCGCGTGTTTGTTGTTGGCCGCGGGTCTCCACGGAAAGCAGCCGTTGGGAAGTGATGTCACGGTTTCCACTGGGCTCCCACGGAAAACGCTGCTACTTCCACTCACACCCCTGCCGCCGGTTGTGAGTGATGTAAAGCTGACCAAGAAATTCCTCACTTAAGCGGTTTCAAAGGAAAAGAGCTGTCAGCCGCATTAAACCGGTCGGCGTTGCCCCCGTTTCCTCCTGGCTCAGACAATTCAAATACAGGGTGTCCCCAAAAACGTGCATCCGCACTTTGAGTGACTATAAAGTCCGTGTTTATTAACCTACAGTTCAATTTCAAAATTTAAGAGAATCGATAGAAATAAATACTTTTTTTGGTC